GACAAAGCTTGCTTGTGCTAAAAATCACATGTAGCCTCTAGATTTACACAACTGTTTCAGTTGAACTCTAATGCAAGCATTATGAGTTGGATAGTTTATATAGCGAGGATGACATATTCAGTTATTTTTAGAAGCGAGGGTTTATGGCAAGTTTTTAACATAATTGTTTATGAATCACACATTGTTTAGCATGTACGTTTAATTGTTATGAGTCAGTGACTGATATATTGTTGCGTCATATTACTACAACTTTCTGGATTTTTCTCATTGTTTTAATTTAGTGTTATTCCATCAGAATATTTAGTATTGTGTAGACAGTTCTAGACTACTGTCGGGATATAAATAAGCGTCGAAATATTATTATTTAGATCTAGACTGCGTAATTGTGAGTTTGGTGATAAAGGGCGTATGGTGGCGATTTTTAAAGTGAAATTATCACAGATTGTATTATATTAACAGAGCAGAGAAGAATAATTTGTCTTGTTAACAAGTATACTTTGTGATGTTTGTTTGTTGTTCATATTTATCGAAAACAAGTCACAAACACCTACTGTAAAGAATCTGGCTTATAAAACCTGACAGTAGCAATACAGCTCTGGACTTCCAAATACAAAGTGTTAACAAAAGCCATTGCATGTGACTATTTCAAGCCAAAAAATGCTTCATCAGAAGAATGTAGACTATATAGGAAACGTTAAATACCATATGCAACTGCAGTACAGCTATATAATCATTTTTTTACATCACAAACCCCCTTGAACCCTCAACCCCTGCGTACATGCATGACTTTGACAAAGAAACTGCTACAAAACAACTAGCTTTTTAGCAGTTGTTGAATTAGTTTAATAATAATGTAAACAAAACAATCAATAACATTATATACGACATATATTCTTTATAAATATGCAATTCTCTAATAACTAAGCGCGAAGCCTTAGGCAGTCCTTTGACCCTAAATCTGCCCCTTCCGGAACCAAAGATTACGAACTCTTTATAAAGAAAGTTCTACCAGTTTCAATGATCACCCAACACTAAATAATAACATCAACTCCTCCCTGTTGTTATTAATTTCATCAGTTCCAGATTCTTAGCGTTTTTATTTGATGATTATCACTAACGTTTTTAAGAGATACAGTATTTCTACTTATATTTTTCTGTTTTCTCTTAACAAAATTATTACACACATGCCAACCTTGTATCTACATTTCATTGGATTGAAATTTTGAAACAGTTATTTGTAGGATAATAGATTTATTTATATATATATAACGTTTCGTCTCTAACAGTGATACATGAGCAGGTATAACGTTTAAGGTACATCTATATACAAGCTGCATATACATTCAATCAAATAATTTTGGTTATGATACCAGTACCCTCTAGTTTTAAAAGTAATTAATTTAATACAAATATAATGGCGCACCTGATGTTTTATCAATGTTGAGTTTTAATTCTTTCATTCTTATTCTTCCAGATTTTTAACTTTGTTTGGCTTTTTCTCTATATTCAGTACTTTAATATTTTTAAAGTTTATTTCGTGTTGTTTTTCAATCATATGTTCATGTACTTTTGACTCCTTTCCTTTTTTTTTTATGTTCCTTGCATGCAATCTGGTCGTTATTTTCCAGTGGAACAGCGGCAAGTCTAAGAACTTACAAAGCTAAAATTTTGGGTTCGATACCCCCAGTGAACACAGCAGATAGCCTTTGTAGCATTGCTCTAAAACAAAAGAACGAACTAATGTTATTTTCATAAATGTTCCTCCTGTATGGAAACTTTCTCTGACTAAACAACTTATTTTATACACTATGCTATTGCCATATTTTTCATTATTATATACCTTCGGTAGAAACTTTAGTGTTAGAGTCTGGTTTGGTTACGATTTTAGTTTCTTCTTAATTTCTACCTTAATCTAACTAATTTTTCACTAATGGCACCTAAAAATGGCATTGATTCATAAATACATCCGTTTTCTTGCTCTTCTTAGTCAGTTCTTGCTTTTGTCCATTTTTGCTTGGTTTATTGTTCTCTTGATTTTATCATCAATTATGTTGGAAGGTACTCATTTTTTTGCTTTGAAATATTCTGTTATGTTATCATATTCATTGGTGCATACTCTCAGCGCTATTATAATGTATCCTTTTTTATGTTCCGATTATGACTATTTTATTGTGTACATAAAACCAGTTTACACAAGTCCATGAGCCTTCTTTCAACACCAGTAAAGTGGTGGACATATAGCTGTTCTAATGGCTTTTTACTAATGCTATTTTAAATTTATTGTTAACTTCAAATATAGAAATTATTGGGATGGTGAAAATTGGGGGATATCTGGGTGCAAGTGAACATTTCTCTATTAGGTTTGATGGTTTGCTACATATGGAGATAAGGAATAATGATATTTTGGTTATAGATTTTAAAAATGCACACCTTAAAGGGTTGCACCAAGAATTATCTCTTGTAAATTGGGCATCTTAGTTATTTAGATACACTGATCAAATGCGAAATTCTTTTCATGATAAACATATTCCCTATAAAAAAAATGGTGACTGCAAGTAAAAAAGCCAGGTTGGCTTACAAAGGGCATAAGAGATAAAATTTAAAAAAAGCATCAAAAGTTTAAGAAATTTAAATTGACTGGTATGACAGGAGACTTAGAAGATTATAGAGATCAAAAAGGCTGGTCAAACATGAAATTAGGACATGAGAAAAGATTGGCTAAAAACGCAAAAATTAAAAGCAAGAATTTCTTTAAATACATTAAGAGTAAACAAAATGTTGGGATGGGGGTAGGGCCCTTATGGGATGAAAAAGGAAGGCTTGTATCTGTTGATGATGAGATGGTTGGGTTATTAAATTCTGCATTTTCTTCAGTTTTTACTAATGAAGATTTAAGCAGTATTCCTCATCTTGAACAGATGGAAATAAGATGAATGCATTAATACTGAGCTGGTTAAGAAGAAAATGGGAAGTTTAAAGAACGATAAGTCTTCTGGGCCAGATAATATTTACCTAAGGGTTTTGAAGGAGGTTAAGGATTGGAAATGTGAGCCATATGATACTATCTTTTTGTAAGTCCTTCAATTGTGGCTAATGCAACTCCTCTCTTCAAGGGAGGTAATAAAAATTGTCCCACTAATTACATGCCTATTAGTCTTACATCATTTGTGGGAAAAGTTTTGGAAATTCTGATAAAAGATGCTTTGCAAAGTCATTTAACAAAATTAAAATCTTATTGGACAGTCACTAAGGGAAAATCTTGCCTTACAAATCTTTTAACAATCTTTGAAAAGATTAATGCTTATATAGATGAAGGGTAAGGTTGTAGGTTTGGTGTATCTAGATTTTCAGAATGCCTTTGACAAGGTGCCACATAAAAGGCTTATAAAAAAATTCTCTCTTTAGGTGTGGAGGATAAGTTAGCCAATTGGAAAAAAAAGAAGAGTGATTGGATGGAAGAAAACAGAGAGTTGTTATAAATGGAGTTTAATCAAATTGGATTAATGTCACAAGTGGATTACCTTAGGGCTCAGTTTTAGGACCTTTGCTCTTTTTGATTTACATCAGTGATATAGATTAAGGAATGGTCAATACATTACGCAAATTTGCAAATGATACTAAGGTCTTGGATGTTGCTGCTTTACAAAAGGATTTAAATCATTTAGTGAATTGGGCAAATAGGTTTTAATTATAATAAATGCAAGATAATGCATGTGCTTTATCATAATTTGAATTATAAGTTTAATTTGTATAGGAATAATCTTAACAGTGTCTTGAAAGAAAGAGATCTTGGTGTAATGTTGATTGGTCTCTTTAGCCATCCAAGTACTGTGCTGTTGCTAGTGGTACGGCAAATAGGATTTTAGGTTGTATCTACAGAAATATTGAATACAAGTCTAAAGAGATTATAACTTCATTGTATAGGTCACCGGTTAGGCCACATTTGGAGTATTTTATTCAGTCTTGGGAAGGGCACTCAATTGTTGAAAAGGGTTCTGAGGATGGTTACTAGAATGGTGCCTGGGATGGATGGGTTGTCATACAAACATTGGTTAAGAGTTCAGAGAAGGGCTAGTATGATAATATCTGTGATGGAAAACTTGTCATATGAGGAGAGATTACAACTTCTGAAATTGTTTTCTTTTCAAAAAAGCAGAGTTAGAGGGTATCTGATTGAGGTGTTTTAGATTGTAAAGGGAGTTGATAGTGTTGATGCATCATCTTTTTTCATACTTAATGGTGAGAACAGTAGGGCTAGGGGACACAAATATAAATTTTGACAAGGTAGGAATCATCTTCAGCTAAGACAAGTTTTATTTTCTAACAAGGTGGTTGGCCTCTGGAATGGGTTGTCTTTGGATGTTGTGGAGAGAGTAAATTTAAGTGAGTTTAAGAGAAAGCTTGATGGATATATGAATGATAAGGCTTGACTAAATTTTTTTTTAATTTATTTATCTAATAGTCTTAGTTTAATTTAGAGAATGGGACAGCCGAGATGGACCAATGTCTTTTGTTGTCCCTAAACATTATGTTATGTTAAAGTACTTGTGCCATTTATTTTCAATGTAAGTTTGCTTCTAAAACATTTGCTTTTCATGTAACACAATGTTTCTGCTAACAAGTGACATCTGGCTTTAATGTAGAATTTAGTCTGAAAGTGAGACATCATCCAAGGCATTTCATATCCTATCAAAAAATGTATTTCATATGATACACACTTCTCTCAATATATAATTTACTGTTAAAATATGTTTCACTATAAATTTTCTGAAACTCTTGCAAATTAATCCTAAACAACTTAGATCAATATTACCTTTGGCATACTCTAAATTTTTCATAATAAGATAGGAAGATCTACAGCTGATTACCTCTTTTCATATGTTGGGCTACAAATTTTAAGAAAATAGTAATTTTATTTACATCAGACTGACTGACAGTTTCTATCAGCTGGTCAATTAGCATCTGAAACAGATTTTGACCAGTATTTATCAGTTAATGGAAACATTGCATCATGAAAGTATATATAATATGAATAAAAAAAAAGTTATAGAAATTCTGACATGTAAAAATATGTGCAAATGGTACTATGGTACAAACAAAACTATATTAATCAAAGAAAAGTTATATAAATTCTGACATATAGAAATATGTGCAAACATTTAGACATCATGAAGGGGAACACCACTATGTTACATACAAAACTGTATGAACCAATGAAAAGTTACAAAAACATGCAAATATATACACATCACAAAAAGGAACATCAGAATGAAACAATCAAAAATGGGAAGAACTTTCAAAAACAATTATGCACCAATGTTGAGAAATGAACTAATGAATGAAGATCTATACTAATGAACAAGTTTAGCTGAAAACATTGTAGAAAACTTAAAAAACACATTTATGTTGTTCTTATGAAATATATATATAACATTATGATCTGATCTTTACACATCATGAAAAGGAACACTACTATGGTACATACATAACTGTATAAAACTGTGAAAGGTAATACAAAATATTTTTTGCTAAAAACTATGTAAAACTCACAACATACTATACATTAAAAAATACCATTGTATGTTCAAATAAAAAAAATAAAAAGTGATATTACTCTGAAAAATATTTTAGTTTTGGAAAAGAGAACAGACTAGGATATATAAACATAACTCAATGAAACTATCATAACTGATTTATTTTGACATATTTTGAACACAGAAAATAAATAAGATCATTTCAGTGAGGTTTTGTTTATGTACTAGGAAAATGCTTAGCTTCTTTGGAGAGTAGCACTGGTGTGATACTCTTCAAAATGTCTCATACAAAGATACTCAAGACACAGTTTACACTGCATCTGTACCTTATTTTCTGATAGGCACAGTCTGCATCTTTTCCTCTTACCCTTTTGAAGAGTTGTTGGGAAATGCCTGCCAAGTGTAAGTCTCAGGGGTGACAATTCCTGTGCAGTTCTTGAAAATGATATACCAGAAAGACCTGGTCTACTTTGAAATAGAGGTCCAACAAGAGCAGTTACCAGGTCCTTTCTAAAGGTCTTCTGGGATAATGCTGGCTGGTTGTTCTGCTTCTTGTACAGTACATAAGCATTCACAATTGTCAAGTCCAAAAGTCGAAAAAACAGTTTCTTATACCACTTTATTGTTTTTCGTCCACAAGAATAGTAACTTGCGTGCTGGTCGTTCAGGTCCACCACTCCCATAAATTTGTTGTAGTCCACAATTAGCTGAGGTTTTGTGACCTCAGTATCCCTCCCTCTTTTTGTCACAGTTGTCATAGTTGCAGAATGTAAAGTAGAAAGAGCATATATATCTTGTCTGTCTGTCCATTTCACAGCTGTCAAAGATCCACATTTGAAAAATTTTGCTTCCCCTCTCTGTAATTTTGTGGCTATCAGTTCTTGTGGAAAATAAAGTCTGTCATTCTTACATGTTCCACATGCATATGTTCCAACAGCCAGTAACTTGTCAAATAAACAAGGAGAAGTGTAAAAATTGTCCATGAAGACCCAGTGTCCTTGTCTATTGTATTTGTCCATCAGTTCCATCACAACATTGTCCGCTAGACCTTCAGCTGACATTTCTCCCTTTTTGCCTGTGTAGACTTTAAATTTAAGACAGTATCCACTCAAGGCTTCTGCCAGGACCCACACCTTGATACCCCACTTGACAGGTTTCTTTGGTAGATATTGGAGGAAACCAATTCTAGATTTTGTCCCCAACATTTGCTCATCTATGGATAATTCCATGTTAGGATGATAGTGAGTTTCAAAGGATTTTAGCAGAATGTCTAGAACAGGTTTAATTTTGAAAAGTTTATCATGATTAAGGTTTGTTCTAGAAAGAGAGTTAGCACTGTTATTGAAATGTAAGTAGTTATTAATAGCCTGAAACCTTTCCCTTGACATGACATTAGTAAACCAAGGAGCATGGAAAGGAAGATAAGTAGACCAGTAGTCAGAAATAAAAGGGTAAGGGCGAAGACCCATAGCTATAGTTATACCTAAGTAAGCTAAAATATCCTCAACAGTAACATCAATCCATTTATTATTACTCTTTTTCCTCGGAGGTTCATTCTGGCATGCAATTTTATCATTTGCATATGCATTTGTTTGATTTACAATTATACTCAACAATTCAATAGAAAAAAAAAGTTTAAAACAATCCATAACAGTAACTGCCTGGTTGGCTTGATATAACACTGGCTCAACCTTCACAAATGAGGTTACTTGTGGTTGTTCCCCTTCACAGACTTCCACCCAGGTCCAGGAATCATTGCAGATGAGAGGCTTCTCCTGTACAGTTGTTCTAGGAGTTTTACTTCCTCTTATTCTGGTTCTTGTTCTTTGCTTGGTTGTACCTGACTTGCACGTTTTAGGAATGTCCTCATCTGACCGAGATTTCTGACCAGCTACATCCTGATCTGTCCATAACACAGAATCAAGAAGAGCTGGTTCAGGATTTCTCGGCCACTTTGTTTTATAGACAGCTTGTGTCAGAGGCATTGAAACAGAAGCATCTATCTCTTCAGTTTCAGATTCCTCTGACAGAAGCCCTTTCTCCTCAGAGGCAAATGATGCATTGCCAACAATATTCAACTGTTCCATTGTCAGGTAACCTCTCTTCTTCATTACGATCTTAGAGCTTTCTTTCAAGCTTTGCTCTGATGCCATTTCTAGAAGAAGTAAAAACATGACATACAATCTCTATTGGGTATCACAGATTTCAGAAATAGCTACAATGGGTTTTGGTCATCAATTCTATTCTAAAACTTTTAACCAGAAATTCTATATATATTATACACAATGATTACTTACTACCACATAGTAGGAAATGAATGACTGACTCCCATGCAGTACAGCAAATTGACAAACAAAACCCAAACTGGTGGTTTATATATTACTAAAATATTTTCATTAATTGCTGTACATTTCCACACTTTCAAACTGCATTTCATTATCAGTGAATGAATCGCATGCAAGTACTGTAAGCAGACTGAGTGTATCTCATTTCAATGTGCTTGAAGTGAACCTCGCAGCTGTGTAGTACTTCACCTGCTGTTCATATGTTCAGAGTACATCTCTATTAACTTACTGCTTTATTGTTCATTAAATGCCCTTCTATCATGTCCTCTGTTTCAGATTGCCAATAATTCATTATGATGTTTTCTACACCTTTATAACCAATAGAATGAGAAAGTTTTAATTTACCAAATGACATATAATACTACCATGTTCTCAGTAGATTTTTAGTTATTTCACCTACAGATTGAAGGCTGTTATCCCTAAGTTCAGATTCTGATTTGTGCCTTAGTTAGGAAGCCACCAGGGTTTGGAATATTACATTCCCACATTCCCAAGGAATTTAACTTTGCTTGAGGAATCTTTTTAGTTGACTTTCCCAATCAGGAATACATGGTCCATCTGAATTCCTTTAGTTATACCCAGCCAAAGTGAACATACTGCATGGATTAAATAAAAAAAAACAATTCATGACGAAATGCAACTTTACATGAAGGAATGTAATCTTCTTGATAGCTCTCCCTCGAGTGAATGTAATTTTATTTCCTGGAATATTATTCTCTGGAAACCACTTTAATTAATACAGTTATAGGACATTGTTATAAAAGTACTTAAAATGTATGAATCAGAAACTTGTTAGGTTAGACAAAAATAATAAAAACTTTTCCACAAGATATGCTCCTGGATATCTTGTGCATTATATCATTCAATACCTTAGCTTGAGATACACATTTGCCACATGTGTCGCAGGATTGTTAGTTAGACAAATTTAAAAGTACACTTGAACTTTGTCTAACAAGCAATCATGCAATAAAAGGTGTAAATCAAGCAACAATTAAATAAAAAAAACATATAAATTGTAAGTCATAAGCTTTTTAGGATATATAATTGCAAGTTTCTGTTATAACCTGCAGTCATTCTTGAAAGAAAAAATGGTAATTTAGATTTATTTCATATGTTTTGTGGTTCCAAGGTTGGTCAAACTAACCGAGTCCGTATGGTATTATGGTATAGAAAATAAAATAAATCTTATGTTTTATAGAAATGTTTTAATATTAATTTAGTAGGTTTTAAATCTTATGCACATGAAATCTGAAAATTGTAAGACGTAAAAGTATTTTTAAATTTAACATAAAAAATCACCTTCCACTCAGACTAGTGAAAGTCTGAGTTGCACTTTGACTCCATATATTCTGACAAATCTTTAGTAAAAATACTTATTAAAATTTTAGTTTTCTCTGTAAATAAGGCTTGTGATGTTTATTGAAAGCTTGACAAATGTTGTGAAGATATACATTAAAAGGTATAGTAAGTATACTTTCATGGCTACCTGGTGGTTGCAACATCAGTCAAAGTGACTGAGCCCATATATAGAGTTAAGTAAAAAACATTAGGTTCAAACTTTAATGCATGGGATCTCATACAAGATGGATGATGGGAGACATCTTGAGGGAAGAAAACCAGTTGATCAATTCATGAGTCCAGTGTAAAACATAAATACACACAATGTGTTTTTGCCTTTGTGAATAAATAGCTTCCATCTTGTATTACATATCCTGTCCAATCTGTTTACTTCTTAGCTTAAACTCAGCCAGTTTAGTATTACTTCATGATACATCCTACTGACCTCCCATTATAAACTGGTTCTATCTAATACTCTTTGCTGAAATCAGTCAAATCTCAAAATATCACAAACATATCGTACATTTTCCAAGCTCAAATTGGATGTTTCCAGGCAAAAAGGACTATGGCTACAAACATACTTTACAAAGCCAAGTTGCATGTAATACGCTTAACCCTTTGTACGTGGGTTGAGTATATTTGACTAGCCCTGTAACCATGAAACTAAACACAGTATAACTAAATGCCTTCACGGAATTTGACAAGACCTAAGAAAACATGAAAAATATGTTATACATAAAAAATACAATGTTTAACGAAGTATTTTTACTCGTGATTTGTCTGTGAATTAACAAATCCTTTACTCAGTCAGTCTGAGGGAAAGGTGATTTTCAAGCTAAGAACAAAAATACTTCTTTTCATTTTATAGTTTTATATTTCACTTCTTATTTTTTCTATCCTAATGCTAACTGTAGTAAAATTATCAATTTAAAATGCAATAAAAAGTTGAAAAATATGAAATAAAATTAATAATATCTTTTCCCCTCGTCTTTGAATGCATAATTATCTCAGGTACTTAAATCACTTATCTTCACAATTTTCCCTTTTAACTTTTTTTACATCTGTTTCAATTTTGTGGTTTTATTTTATGTACCCTTTTATTCTCCATGAAAAGCAATAAATCAAAGTGGAAGCCTATTGGCTCTTTCCTTTAGAGATAACGTAAACAGGATGAGATCTTGCACATGACAGTGGTTTCTCTCTAAGCCTCATTGAATATTACATATTCAGATCTCAAAACAAAATTCATATATATTTTAGAACAAAAACATATCAGTCACTAGAAGAAAACGTCCCAAAACTACTATAATTTCTCTGGCTTTCTAATTAAACTATAAACAGTTTAAAAATTATGTTACTCTTCAACAAAAAAACTGCAGAACAGAAACCAAGAGAATCTTCTCAATTATTGTCTTTCACCACCAAAACTAAACCAAGCATCACGAGATTTATGTAGAGGAGAATTTGTTCTTTCTATTAGTTATAAACAAGCCATACAAGTTTGATTATGAATCACTCTCAAAACTCAGAGAGAGAGAAAGAATGGGAGGTACTTCTAAGATGAGTTTAACAAATTTACTGATATATCAGCAAATCAAGAAGATCAACATTTTACATTTTTGCTTGTAATTACGTATAGTTTATGTTTTTAATTGGTTAGAAAATACATCCCATAACACAAACTGAATTTCTTTTAAATATTACTTTCTGAAATTAAAAATCAAAACCTAGATATAATATAAAAATTTGAAACAAACTGTTTCATTCCAAATTTATTGACATACATTGATAATAAGTTTGTTAAATTAAAGTTTGACTGTAACACTGTAAAAGGTTGTGACATGTGCAAAATAAACAGGCCTGTATGCTAATGGTTAATGAAGTATATTTCATTTATAGCAAGGCACAGAACGGATCACCTGCAGTGGTGCCCAGAACATGCACAATGGACAAATGACATGGTGTACCAATATTTCTTTTACAGATGAACTGCTCTTCAGCCTGCAGCTAGATAAAAGGAGTATACTCATTTGGATAAAGCTTGGAATCAGATCCAATCCTGTTTTCATAAAGAATAGTGGCATAAATATACTGTAGACAGAAATAAGCATACCAACCTGTAAGCCCACAAAATGTTATCATTAATGGCACATACCCTACAACCTTTTGTACTGCTGCATGTTTATGCAATTGGTCCCAAGTACAACCTAATGGAAAATATATTGCATGCTAAACTGGTTAATATGGTCCACAGATCATTGTTTGGCATGCTTACTCAACACTATTCAATCCCAATGAGTATATATAGCAATGCTGTAGGGAGACAACACTTTCCATCAACTCTGAACACTAGTTTCCTTGGGAACAGCTCTTTCAAATCAGTAACTGAATAAACCTCAGACTCTTACAAACATTGAATATATATATGCAATACCTGTGCCAGATCATAATCATGAAATTTCATACTAAAATGAAATGTCTTGAAATAAAGATATAAAACTCTCTTTACCAAATGGTTATTTATGGGAAGAAGAATGACCAATTACTTACATTTCAGATCAGTTCATTTGTTTTGTTTTTTTAATTATGCACAAAGCTACACAAGGGCTATCTGTGCTCTGACCACCATGGGTATCGAAACCCGGTTTCTAGCGTTGTAAGTCTGCAGACATGCCACTGGGGGCATTTCAGATCAGATAACAGGTCATTAAATGTCAAAACTGTAGAAAAATGAAGGGGATTAACTTTATTTCAAAACAGTGATTTTACTTTTCATAACTAAAACATTATAACCCACAGTTTAATATATTTTAAAAGTATAAATTAGATCACTGTTAAATCAAAATGGAATCACATCATGAATGCTAAAATGAACTGTCAAGTAACTCCCATAGTGTCATTAATAAACTATGTTCTATAGCAATAGCTATATACTGTAATGGGTCGGATGAAAGTGGTTTAGCTCCAGCTTTAAATAACAGTAGCATATCTGGATATCAAGTTTGTAATCTATTAGTTCATTCAGATTATTAGATGCACGTGATAAAAAATTATGAATATACAATGTTTGAAATGATCTTAATAGAGTAACAGGTACTGAAACAGAATTGACTCATTTAATAAACCTAAATTCAAACACAGCTGCCTGTTATACTTACTAACTCTTTCCATTTGTTAGGGTCAAAGTATGAATGGCAAAGTTTTAATGAAGTCGCATCACAGAGTCAGTAGATTCTATATGCAGGGATGGCCAAGGTACTAAACAGACATAATACAAATATTTGTACTAAAAAATCAACAATGACAGAGTTTTACTTTAACTCTTTTAGCACAGGGTCAGTCCCTGGGACTGACCTCATAATCATTTTGTGCTTGTTATAGTTTTCATGCTATAACTTTCAAATTAGTAAGCGAATGTTAACGACATTTGGCAGATTATCAGTAAACATTACAATGCTTTCATATGCAAAATATCAATTTTTCTTAATAAGTCTTAAGGTTTGTAAAGCAATGTTTTTCTCGTATCTTTTTTTTTCTTTTCGCATGTTGCCTATCTATCATGCAAAGTAATTTTCATTTTAACATTAAAAATACTTTTATGCATCAGAAAATTTTGAAATTTCACATGCTAAATCTTTATAACCTCCGGATAGTTATCAAACATTGCTTAAGAAAAACTTTTTATCTTATCTGTTATTTTCACTAATGAATCTCTGTACAGGTTCGGCAGATTTGACTGATCCCGCAACCATAAAAAATTAGGAAATAAACATAAATTATGAATCTTTCATTCTAGAATGAACACAAATTATAACACAAACACATAAATGTTTAGACTAAATAGCTTAAATCTCATAACATTATATTTAATTAAATTAATTATATTTAATCAAATATATTTATTATTTTTATTATATTGACCTTTAAGACATGTCTGGCTAACAATACAGAAGTTACAATGACGCAGTTCACGTGCACTAATATTACCATATCAAATAACATAAAACTGACCTTTGGTCTGTACAAAGTGACCCATCTTGACTGTGTTTTAGTAGACTAGTATTTTGTAAAATACAGTCACATTTCGATTATTATACATTATATATGTGTATAGATTATTGCTATTTTGAAGTAAGTTCTTAAACTTATTTTTCTTTAAACATAGAACAGTAACTAAAGAAGTAAAGCAAACAATTATCTCTTCTGGTTATGACCTTTGTACTCAGTTGCTGCTTGACATAAGTTGCTAAACCTTTAAAAAATTTGCACGTAGACGATATGAAACAAAATATTTTTCTTAGGTTTTATATATACATTTCAATAACTAAAAAAATCATAAATTACTATATTAGTACCATAAAATTTCACTATAGTTTATAAAGCTTAGTAACTAAGATGTATATTTGATAAAAAAAATGACATTTTGAGCAGACTAAAAACACACCCAATCTCATTGAAATATTGGTTCAAAAGAAAGAAATTCTGGTATGCAGTTTGTTTATCATAATATCATGGTCACATCAGGGTAGGCATCAGTGTAGTGTAATAAAGAGCTTAGGACATACATACATACAAGGAAAACCAAGTTGAGTCAAAACATGTTTTGGTTATTACACTCACTCACTACGAGGTTGGCCGAAACGTCCAACCTCATAGCCATTACAGTGCGCACTGTAATGGTCATGAGGTTGGACAACTTTCAACATTATATGAGGTTGGACAACTTTCAACATTATAACCATTACAGTGCATAATGATGAACATCATGTAGGGATGATTTATGTATAGGTGTACTATCCCTATATTCTTGTTTGCATTCGTTTTGGCACTGCCATCCCTACATCATTTTATATTCACAAAATGTTTTTTATTACTTGTTCAAAATCTAAGTAAACAACTATTGTCATTGTAAGTCAATAAACTTGTCATCAAAATGTAGTTTATAATCAAATTTTATATTATCTAAATTCTGATTTCTTAATTTCAAAAGGAATTATGAAAAAAAAAATCCCAATCTTCACTTCTTTGTGTCACGTAACATGTCTGACGCAAAATTGTCCCTTGTTGGTTTTATAAATTCCCTCAATTTGGGTTTCAAAAAAACCAAGAAATTAGAAACAAACTATGCATAGTTACAAGCAATACTATAAAAGTTGAACCTCTTCTTGATTTATTGGGCTATCAATACATCCTTTGCTGTCTTTTTTTATCCTCTTTGCTAATAGTGTAGCCAACAATAAAAGCTTTTGCTCTCTATATGAGGCTCATTAAAGATTTTTAATTTTGGCAACCACAGAACAACAATCTGAAATAGTTTCTTCATGTGTAAACTTTGTATCTGTGTCTGAATGTCTATTTGCAGCTTTTTGTAGAAAGCTATATGAAATAGTGATTTTGGAACAACCTATTGTAATGCCTGAGGAATATTTTATTGAGTTCAAAAATGCATGTTTGAAAGCTAAATGAATTATGTTTCAGAAAACCAATAACATGAGAAAAAAGTTGTGTTACTGAACCACTGTATACGAGTGTAAGCATCCTGAACCCAAAGACAGGTTGCTAACTCTCTTGTTTCTTATGTATATTTTATGTTATATATATTTTAAGTTTATCTGATAAAAGTTTCTAATATTACACTAGCATATTGTGTGAGTGCAAGTGCATATGAAATTTGCACCAACTTACCCTGAGGCATGAGCTTTAATGCTCTCCACATGGGTCACGGGTCAAAGGCCATGTCATCTCATTTGTTGACTCACATTCAAAATTTTATTGAACTACTATCTTATAAATTTACGTCAGTAAGATGGGCATTAAATTGTAAATTATTACTCAAATTTTAGTACTTTACATTATTTAATTTCTTTATTTAAAAGTAAATATTAACAAACACTTTTAGGAATGTTCTCTTCCAATTTCAAACAATTTCATCCACTAGTTTTATTTTCAGAATGAAATATAACAATATCAATGTTAGGTCCTACTAACTGTAGAACCCATTAGTCATAGGGTTAAAATAGAATCCCACACTGAGAAGATGATTGAAGGACCAGTGCAGCTAAAGACACCCAAAAGATGAACTCCTTTCTGAGAATATAGCAACAGAAAGGGAAAACTCATGAAATGTGTCATCTACTGGGGGAGGGGGTGACCTAGTGAAAACATCACTAGTGCAAAGTGCTAAAGTGTCACAAAGGTGACCTGTATACTTCAGAGGTGCAGCAGACTATCTAAGTGTAGTGTGACTAGGACAATAAATCAAGCTGTAGAGTAAGTACAAAATATGTGGAAACCTATCACAATAAGTACATCCAAAGATGAACCATCTCAAGCATGCATCCTGAAGAGAATGCAAGAGCCATCTGGCTGGTCACAACCATCTGATTATTCTTGTAGGTATTTCAAAGAATTGTAATGATATATATATATTTGTATTTACCAGTTCCTCCTTTTGACTCAGAGTCAAGATGTAGAAATTCATCTTGAAATTCATTTTCTTTTTTCATACTCAAAGGGTCATCTTTGGAACTGTCCTGATCATCATCATCACTCACATTGAACACTGAAACAATCTCATCCTGTTCCAAATCATCAGGCTGCTCAGTTTTCACACTGACACAAAAGTTCTGAAATAAATATGAAAAATATTAGGGATCAGTAGTAAAACACCTGGCACTATCACCTACTTCATCTTTACAAGTAAAATATTTTCAAAAGACAGTTGTGGCATAGATATACATCAGGTTTTAGTTAACTGAATTTAAATCAAGTGAAAGAATACATGAAATATGACAAACAATATAGATGTTCAGATAAAAATAAACAAATACCTGATCTCACTACATGAAGAACCCATTTTAAGCAGTTATCAAACATTTACTCAACCAAAAAAAGGTTTTACAAATGGTCAATTAACATTTTATTTTTAATGTTTAGAGAAAATAATCCATCTTGTGATCTCAGATATTTCTTTATTTTGCTACACAGTTCAACATATAAACTCTAAGTTGCAGTGAAAGAAAACTAGTTTTTTTAATTGTATATGCAATTATATACTTTGAATATGTTTATATTTTTTCAAATAACCCTCAATTTTACAAAATTTCCATAAAGAATACATTATTTCTGGATATTGCACCAGCTGAAATTAGTAAGATAACATTCCATTGTCAATCAATCATAACATATGAAACATGAGTACATAAAGCGTATTAACACCCACACTAAGCTATTTCTCTGAACAAGGAAGCTCGATATGGAAACAAAATTGAAAGTTATACAACAATACTAAGAAGTAACACAATAAATTATACATGTACACTAAGACTCATTACCAAAAATTAGCATAATAATGATAGAATGAAACACAACTCTCTTTTAATATTAAAGAGGACAACATTTGCAGGTGAATACAACATGTTTTTGCCATAAAAATCAAGTAAAACACAGAAAAATTAAAAACTGTTTATGTTACTGCTTGGGATCTACAAGAAGGTATCTTTGTACCAAATCCCATGTAAATTAGCCAAAATGAGGCAGAGCTCCAACTCCCTAAAATAGGCTAATAATGGGCAACTTTTTTATATGTCAATGTGTTGGGCGAATTAAAATTTATATTTGTGTCAATTTTCATCTGGACTGCCAGAAATATAACTGCACTGGAGCCAAAAATATGCATTTTTAGGTTGTTTGACATTTGTCCCCATAAAAAAGGCCTAAATAAAGTATGTATATCTTCAAAAAATTTGGCAGTCTTTCAGTAAACATTACAAGTCTTTCACATACAAAAAGTCATATTCTTTAGTGAAGTATTTTCAAGTTTAGTTTGTTTGGAGTTAAGCACAAAGCTATTCAAAGAGCTATCTGTGCTCTGCCTATGACAAATATCAAAACCCGGATTCTTGCATTGCAAGTCCACACATATACCACTGTGCCACCAGTAATTTAAATAAAACAAATAAGATTTGTGTGTGAATATATCAAATATTTATTTTGAATAGTCTGTGTGCAAAGTGATTTTCATTAAATGTACTTTTCTTTATCTCAAAAATCTCAAATGTCATTTGTGTAATCTCTAAAACCTCCTAAATACATTTCAAATG